TGAACACTTTTGCAGAACAGCCGAGTAGAACACGTAAACGCAATCCCTACGTCAAAGCCGCTGACCTCGCACAGTCTAGACACGCAGAAAAGCCAGCACAGGGGGCGGCCAGGCAGTCAACGTGAAAGCACACACGACGGCAAATTCCTGCGCAAAACGCAGTCACGAAAAATAGACGAAACGGATCGCCGGTCCGTACGGGAAAATCAGGACAACTCGAAGTGTCTGACCCGGCGGAAGACACCCTCCGCATTTTTCCACGGACGTGGAGCGACTTTGGCGCCGCGGGAGCCCGTGGTCTCGGATCCTTTCATGAGCAAACATCGTCTGGGAGGCCGAGTTAAACTCTCTCTTATATATATAGACGAGACCCATTATGTAGCACCTTTTTGCTAGGTGCTGCGGCACACATTGCTGCCACTCGAGTCATTACAACTCTGAAAATAACACACAAATTGTCCAAATCTACATGTACATGTCACTTCCAAAATACAAGACAATCATTTCCATGTTGGAATCAACACTGGAATCCCCCCTTACATTACATCAATAGAATCACTTTTGTGTGGTACGGGTGCATGTACTGTACAGAGTACAGCACTATTTTTAGCCACGAGTGGATAAAAACTTCTGCTGTCCATTATCTCAAGATAGAGATGTGGGTAGAGCCATCATCAGCTAACCCTTGGAGGATAAAGCTTCTTCCTACAGAGAGTACAGAATGACACTGAGTCAACGGCGCGGTTTAGCTAAAGGTTTCCTCTGACAATGGGTGACTGATGACAGAGCTCTGCATGAGTTCACAGGGCTTCCTTGTTCAAACACTCAACGGCCAAAGTTGCTAAACAAGGGGCAACTCAATGATACTGGAATTTTGCACAGGAGTTCAGTGTTTTCTGCACTGAAACTACATGTCTTTTTGGTGAAGAAACATACATACAATGTACACATTTACATCTAAACAAGTGCGATTGCCCAATAAGCTTTGGCCATCTTGCATGAAAGTCTATAACGTTGACTGGAGATTGTGCAACAAAGCCGGCCTGCTGCATTCCACGTGCCGTCCCACGCACCCTCGAGGCTTCCCGGGCAAAAATCACGCTGCGCTAATCTGTCCCCGAAAATTGCCCAAAATAAGCTCCCTAAGTCTCCATAAACTATTGCTGATTTAAAAACAAAAAAATGGCATGGTTTGCTTTTTCTTTTTTTCTTGTCAAAATTTCAAAAACGAAAATGATATTTGGTTTACTTTTTCTTTTTCTTTTCAAAAATTCAAAACAATAAAAGGTATTTGAGTTTGCTTTTTCTTTTTTCTTTTAAAAAGTTCAATAACAAAAAATTGTAAATTTAAGGCCAAATAAAAAAGAAAGCATGTTTAGCAAATTAGCATCCCCGCCCACTTCCCTTTTGGAGGCTGCCTCCTTTTTTTCCTTCCTTTTTTTTAAACACGAAAAATGATAAATTTTAAACAGTGACATCATTCTGGGCTCTTTGTCTGTTGCATCTAGCCCATATAAAGCTGGTATGTCATTCCTGAGTCCAAGTTGCAGTTATTTAAAAAAAAAGCAGCTGCCGGCCATCTTGAAAAATAGCCCAGTCGGGCGGCGATTTTGGAAGGAAAACGAAAACAAGGGCCTCCTTTTTTTTTCAAAAAGCAGGACGCTAAACATGTTTCTTTTTTTACTTGACCTAAATGGTTTGCTTTTTCATTTTTCTGTTCAAAATTCAAAAACAAAAATTGGTATTAAAAGGGTTTGCTTTTTCTTTTTTCTGTTAACAGATTCAAAAACGGTAAACGGTAAAACAAGTTAGTTTTTCTGTTTTTCGTTTTTCAGATGCATAAACGGTAACTGGTAATGATTTGCTTTTTCTGTTTCTTTACAAAGATTACAGAACGTTAAACGGTTAGGGGTTCGTTTTTTTCTTCTTTTTTTCGACGATTTTCACGCCATTCAAGTTTGACTTTGAGCATCAACCCCCCGGACCCCACTTGCATGCGCACATAACCAGAGTTATGAAGATCTGATGAGAGGCCTACAAAGGCCTAATATCAAAAGAGGACCTGTAAGTACCTGAAAGTACATAAGTAAGTGATTGGATAGTATGTAGGCCTACACAGATCCATGTCATGGTCAACAATTCTTGGTCAAGAAAATTTCTTAACAAAATTGGAAATGTTTCTCAATCTCATTCACAGATTCGTGTCTTTTCATAATGACTGACCTTTATTGAGATGATACATTGTATATGAAGAACAAGTGGCGTTAGGTTGCAACATTCTTCCCGTATCTTTTGGCAACTAACTTACACTACAGTTAGTCAACTAGTCACATTAACTTGTTAGTCGTCTGGTCGTAGATGCCTACTGTATAGCCCCACTTAGTACGTGGGACGAGAGGCCAAAAACGCTTTAGTTTTCGAGATACACGATCTGGATACACGTAATTGTTGTATATTATTACATGTCAAAAGTCTCATCAAATAAAGGACCCACTCTCTGTTTGTAAACTTTTTAAGAGAAAATGAATTTATATTCCCCTATTAGGAAGCTTTGAGTGGCAGCATTACAACTGCAATTATTTGGTTTCAGCTGAAACCGTCTTACCTTTTTATTATTTTGAATATTGTTTTAAGAACTGATTCATGTTTTGTTGATGCTCCATCCATTCTATGAAAACCACCAATAAACCCCAACGGCCCACCCGTTTCCCTTTTCAAACTTTTATTACTTTTTTTTAACTTTCAGGCATTTAACTTTTTTAAAAGGTGTTTCAGAAGTTCAGATGCTCCACCAGATTACTCCTAGAACTATGAGGCTCCACGTAGTGGAGCCTCATAGATTTAGAACCCCGCAAAATTGTTGTCAGCACAAAACACTAATTAAGTACAAAAACGTCCATCCCAACCAAGCTTTTTCCCATAGAACCGCTGCACAGTTTGCCCCTAAACTCCGTACAATACGTCATGACATACTCATGTTATGTGCACCCTCAAAGTTCTAGGAGTACCACCAGATGCCGCGCACTTCTATTTATTGTTGAAAATATGTAACCCAGAGAGTTTGCAAAATTATTCTGATCTGGGGTTTTAATCATACTAATCGATGTTTATGTAGCTAATAAAAAAAAAAATTCGATTGTAAATTTAAAACTTGATAATTTCATGTTGGACAAAACTGTAACGAAGATATTTTGGCAATAACAAAATTCTAGAAATTAATATGAAAGAAGTATCATCTAGCAAGCCGTGTCTATCATCATTGGCTGAGTTCGGGCGGGTCTTGTTCTTGAAACGGGTCTATCATAAGTATCAATATCATTCTTGCAAACCCCAACAGATAGGTGGTGTGAGATCCTGTTCCGAGTGCAGTTTTCGAGCACGAGAACAATAAAATTTAAAAATTCAGTGTTGCATAAAAAAAAAGAGCGCCCGAACTTGGATGGCCATTGCAATAGGGGGCGCTGTTTCTTATGTTTTTTCTCATGCAGAATTTTTGGCATTTTTATCCCAAATTGTCTCATTCCCAAACAAACTGTGGATCGGGGAACAAAGTTTTTTCGATAGGGTACACCCATGGAGGAAGGAATTAACTCCTTAATTCCTTCCATAATCTACATGTCTGTGAAGTTTTATATTAAAACTTCGGCGAACCAGACCGCGTGACGAGCGAAAAAAAAAAGGCCTCGTCCCACGATTGCAGGTCAACTCGCCCCCTGGCCGACTCGCCCCTTACCGACTCGCCCCTGACCGACTCGCCCCCTGACCGACTCGCCCCCTGACCGACTCGACCCTTACAAGCTTGCCCCCTGGCTGACTCGCCCCCTAGCCGACTCGCCCCCTCGCCAACTCCCCTCCTAGCCGACTCCCCCCTCGACCGACTCGCCCCCTGACTGACTCGCCCCCTGGAAAATGATGCACCGTACGGGGACATCGTAAAAAAAATAATAAAGACAGTGGAGGGGAACACAGAGGGTCCAGCAAATCAGCTTCGTTATCTGAGTTTTGGGATTAAACTATTACAATTGCCCAATTCAAAATTTGGTTCTGAAAGTTCCATTTCTGAGCCTCTTTTATAACTTTTTCAAAACCGTTCGGTATGTTTGATAAGAACACCACTAAACCAAAAAAATGAAATACATTTTTTTGATTTTTCAAATATACATCATTTATTCTGAAAAATATTTTTTAACGAAACTGAGGACCCAGAGTCGAGATTTACAAATTACATTATGTCATTGACAAACGGTAAACGCGGGTATACCTGCCGCGCGCCGGCACCCACCGTACCGGTACCTGTCGCGCGCCGGCACCCGCCACCGGTACCTGCCGTGCCCGCCGGCGCGGCAGTCACCGTGAACGCTACTACTACGCGCACATGCCCAACGGGCCCTATGCCACGGGCACTCCGCAAAAAATCACGCTGCGCTTTATCGGTAAAGTTGTGCTAAGGTGTTTCCAACCCAAATTCTTTATAAAGCAAGGATCAATAGTTTTTTGCATTGGTATCGGAAATCCTTCAAACTTGCGTTTGAGTAATTTGGCTCCATTAAGTTTCACGTTGCGACCGGACAATGTGCTCCACTGTCTTTATTTTTATTTCACGATGTCCCCGTACGGTGCATAATTTTCAAGGGGGAGAGTCGGTCAGGGGGCGAGTCGGTCAGGGGGCGAGTCGGCTAGGAGGCGAGTTGGTGAGGGGGCGAGTCGGCTAGGGGGCGAGTCGGCCAGGGGGCGAGCTTGTAAGGGTCGAGTCGGTCAGGGGGCGAGTCGGTCAGGGCGCGAGTCGGTAAGGGGCGAGTCGGTAAGGGGCGAGTCGGCCAGGGGGCGAGTTGACCTGACACCGTCCCACGGACCATGCACGGACTAATTGTCACCCCTTGCGTTTCTGTTGCAAATTTACTGGACTCCCTCCGGCACCGCGTACAATTAATTGCACGGACCACATGCATGACATGACCACGTATTTACAAACAGCGGGGAAAGATACGAAAATGACTTACCTTTGGATTATTTATCACATCTGATTCAAAATGGAAGTCTAGAATCAAAGTTTAACAATATCTTCGGCGATCCGAACACGATATTCAGCAAAATGTGCAAAAAGAGAATCGTTTTCATCAGGCGACTGAGTGGTTTTTTGACATCTTGACACATTCGTCTCACCTGTAGTCTGATTTCAGACTTTCATTCATATTCGAAAAACAATACCTAGTGATGTGTATGAACGCGTAATCCAGACTATACCGGAAGAGTTGTCATTACGAGACTTCAACACTTTTTAGTAGGGGTGGTTCCTTTGTAGTTAAAGTGATTAATGCATTAACATACAAACACAGAACTTCCATAATCCACTTTATCGCCAACAATACTGTTTTATTGTATTTAAAATATATCTTTGGGATTTTCATACAGTAATCTGTCGTAAGTTTTCGGTATTTTAAGTAGTCCCTCAGAAAATTAAATTATACAAAGTTTACGCGCATCCCTGAAATATTTGTGTGGACAGTCATCAATTCAAGATGGCGGTTTAGGAGTGTCCGAAAAAATTCCAGTTGCCGTGTGTCAACTTGTGAAAATCTACAGTTATTCAGCATTGCGTATCCTCTTCATCAGTTCCGTCGAAACACGAGGGAGAAGTAAAGGAACTGTTTGATGTGATCTTAAAAGTTTTCGGAGTTACGCGAAGGTAAGAAAATTTCATTCTTCGTCTCACACCCTGTCTGCATAAAATTATTTCGAATCGTAAAGTTCGCTATATTCGAACAAGTGCATGCGAACCCAAGTGGGACATAGCAAATTGAGTAAGTGCGCTTTCTTGCAAATCACGCAATCTTCAGAATGAGCGCGCATTCTTAAGAACGAGCGCGCATTCTTAAGAATGAGCACACAATCTGAAGAATGAGCGCTCATTCTTAAGATTGCGTGGGAATATCACGTGCGCAATTTATGAATTTTGCGCAATCTTAACAAACATTGCACGACATAATTCATGTAATTATGTTAAATGAAATGTATAGCGGTTAAAAGGGAAACAATTCATATAAAGAGGAAAGAAAATGTTCTATGCTTCTGTACTCGTATAACTGCGATAATTTGAATCAAATAACCTGCTATTATTGGTATTGCATCTTCTGCCCACTATGGGAAGTTTTGTAATAACGGAGGACTGGGAACTAGTCTGGGAAGTGCTTTGTTTAGGCTAGACAATTTACAAGTCCCTGTATGTATCATATGCATGTCACGAAAAAAACGATGTCCAGAAGCTGCCAAAATTGCTCAATTGCTCAATATCAATTTTATTAAAGTGGCAAATAGCATTAGCGATATGGGATGTCATAGTATTCATTTTCATTCTTCACATTCTTTATTCTTACGCCCCCCCCCCCTTCCCCACTTTTGTTATTCCAAAAATCAGAATTCTTGCCACTACACTATTATTATGTCTCTTTTTTTTTCCTGGTCCCCCGAATACGTGTATACTTTCATATGCCCACTCTACTTTTCATCGTTAAATCTTTTCCTAGGTAAGGGACCTTGTGTTGCAACAGTATAATTGTTACGAATCAGTGAACGAGGATGCAGCTAGACTTGCCAAGCGCAGCCGGTGCTCGGCAGCGACAGTTGGCAGTTGAAAATAGCGTTACGGCTGCTGTAAAAAATAACCACCACGTTCAGACGTTTAATTTAATGCACTTCAAACGAAAGCAACCAACAAAGTTGAGTAAATCAATGTTATGAATCTTTAAATATAGGCAGTGGCTATTATGCCGGAGACGGCAAACCTTTAGTAAACGTTAGTTTGCCGGATATGCACTGAACATGCGCAGTTACTATTTTTTTGTACCATTTTCCGGTGACAAATGTTAGTCTGGCTCCATGCAGAAACATTATCGTTGTAACTTCGTATTCACAAGATGGGAATCAGACCATTTTACAATTTCTGACTTTTATTCCTTTTAAAAATGTCCTCCAGAGCCACAAATCTGAAAAAGAAAATGTAATACCCTGCAATAAAATGTTTGACACATGTTAAAATAATAAAAGAAGAATATTTTTTGGGGGGATGGGCAAAAAACCTTAGAAATGTCGCCAGCATGGCCAGCGGGGATCGGGATCGAACCCAGGTCTTCCCGCTCATGAGATCCGTTGCTTATCAACTAGACCAAGTATGCTACACAACCGTTGGTGGAAATTCAGCCCTATCTTAGAGAGTACAGCGCCCTCTGTTGATATGGATTGCCGCCGGCAAACCTTTAGTAAACGTTAGCTTGGTGACATTACCTCCGGCAATATATCCACTAGCTTAAATACATTTATGGCAAAACATGAATCTAATTCTGAATTAGACCCAGTAACTGGGGCGCTAGTACGACCGACCAAAGTCAAAATTCGGAAAAAAAAGGATTTCTACGGCGTCAGCATGCATCAACGACTGAAATGGTACAAATGTACAGGCTACAGGTGCTAGCGCATGGACAGTCGTCAGCAATGTAGACATGAAACAGTTAATCATTCGTCCTTTCTACATGTCATGTGATCGTGACCCCTGTGTACGCATACGTGTGATTTACGGTACATAATATATGAGTGATTTCAAACATGGCGGGCAGGCAGTGTTGTGCACCATGAAACTTAGTCCGAAAATTTGGGACTCTCAATACTGTGTATGAGAGTCCCAAAACTTAAGGTATTGAAAACATGCAAAACAAGAAAATAGACTGGCACCTACCGGTAAAACAACCAGTCCAACACACAGCGTCAGTACTGCATCAATCAACCATGCCAAAACTGTTTAAGAAAAATGGGGCATGAAGTGGGAACTAGTCTCATTTTACTACACATTTGTCCATAGTCAAGCCACCAGACTATTGACACTGAATGAAGAGGTCAGTCTTTTCAAATAGTTGGACCATGGTTGGACATGTACCAGTCTAGTATTTAGCCCCATTTTGAAATCACTTGATTTCCCTCTCATGTGCAAAATATTGAAGAAAAGTCTCCTTTAAAAATTGAATTAAGTCTGCAAACTTGGTTGGTGAAATACTGAGGACATTTCCTTTGCCCCAGTGGAGTTTTTGGAGAAATTTGCTGGCTAAACTGTGAGTAAAGTGGGCCTGGTTTAGTTTTGCACGTTTCAGAGCACTCCAGAGCCCTGTCTGCATGAAACTGTGCAAATTCCATCGATTTAATTTTGAGTACCATTGAAGCCAGTGGGTGCTTTAAAAGCTATTGTTTTTCAAGTCTTTGCTGTGATTTTGGCAACTTTTTGAGCTGGATGTTCGTGAAAATTCACAACACTGCTAAACCATTGCTAGAGGGCTCAAATCCAGAGAAAATCGTGCTGCATTGTGGGAAAAAGTCAACATCGCAACGCGACCCAGAACGGAAGTTGCCGCCATAGACTCCGTTTTATAGCGATCATACGTCAAACAGCGCATTTGAGTAGGACCTACATGTATAGGTTTACATGTATTTTCGACAATGATTTCCACGTTTCATAAGTTCATCTACTGGCATCGATGTCACTCGCTCAATGTCCGCCATCTTCAAGCCATCTTCAGAGCCATACACACGTACCGGTACATTATTTTCAAAAAGTTACTGAAAAAGTTTTGTTTTTTCATCGGAATCATTCGGCCTAATATTCCGCATACAGGTTCACTCACCCAAGCACTCACTTTTTCGTCACAAAAATCACAACTCTTGCTTTTCCCCTTCTGGTGAAATTTGCCTGTTGATTTTTGATTGCACAAAACGGCCATTATTGCAATAGGGCAGCTGTGGGACGAAAATAAAGAGGCACATTTCACCAATTGAATGTTTGAAATGGACTGTTTGCTTACAATTAAAGGCTTTTGTTATTTACCAAGATGATTACAACAGTTCTCATAAGATACTGATATATATATATCCAAATTTCCAAAATATTTTGACATTCACTTGTACTGGTAGTTGTACATGTATATATTTTAAAAAGTTTTCACAAAGTATTTTGACCACCCATTAAGTTCTAAACTCTCTCAGACTTTGCTCAGTTAAAATGTCCATTTTGAAAACCATCCTGAGATGTTTGTACTGCTAATTTTTATTTTTAAAAAATCACAATTTCAACAAATACATCACTTTGATGTACATACACTCTGAATTATTTTCTGTTTATATTGTATTACATGTTGCCGCTGAAATCGTTGTTGAGTATAGAAAATAATTGTATCGGGGTGATTTCTAACTTTTCGTGGGAAAAAAAACAAACTTAAATTAAAGACATGAAGAATTTTCTGAGTGATATTTTTGGGCTGTGCATCAAAATCTTTTCCAGATTATTGGATCAGGTACCTGTAACCAAATTTATCAGTTACTTAGACCCCGTTCCCACTTGATCCACCAATTGGGGGATCTGATCCACCTTTTGCCAAATTGCCGGATCAGATCCCCCAATTGGTGGATCAGATCCGGCAATTGTGTGTAGTGGGAACGCTAACCGTTATAAGGTGGATCAGGATCAGATCCACCTTTTCTGATCCACCTCTGGACCAGGATACAGATCCCCCAATTGGTGGATCAGATCCGGCAATTGCCGGATCACGATCAGATGGGAACGCAAAAGGTGGATCTGATCCGGCAATTTGACCTGTTAACATCCGCCCGGTGCACGAGTGGCGCGAAAATGTTGCGGTCTCATGAACGAAGAAACACGTTTTCAGGCGTGTAGCTCATGTGAACATTTCCAGCGTATACAACATGCACAATAAACAACCGCTGAACTACGGGCTAGCACCGCGCATGCAAAAGCGCACGTGGTATCCTAAAACTACACTAGGTCTTATTTTTGTTGCGTGTTCGTCCATTACTAAACCTTTTTTCATTCGTGAAATTTTACTTATTTTTCCATCCATAAATGACTCTGAGTCCGCACTCACCAAAAGACTTCACTTTGGCACAGAATCATGGAAAAGCTTACGAGTATGCGATGAGAATAGTGCCGATAACGCGGTACGTACTGAGGTGACAAATCTGAAGTATTGATTATAGAAAATTGGAAATGATGTCGTAGTACATCATGTGACCGTTTCTAACCAATGAGAAGCTTCAGAACCAGGGAATCCCTTATCGATGCATTGGTTTCTGCCGTGATGTCACACAATGAGCGGCTCTGATCTGTTGGATTTCACCTGTTAATTTATGCACGCACGGATCCTCTACGGATCCGTGATTTATGTTGGTGAATTCGCGTAATTTTTGTCGGTGAATTCTGATAGTG